GATCAGCCATGGTGTCTCAGAAACCCACATGCTACCTTTGAATGAGCACAGCAAGGCCTTGCCCAGCCTTCATACCCAAATTTAGCTCCTGTTTACCTACAGAACCACAGAGCAGAACAAGTGCCCACACCACTGGCAAAAGAGGAGGAGGGGACTGCTCATGATTTGCTGCCTGCACTCCCGAGTGCCTCCAGACTGCAGACCAGCTGTCTGCACTCCCCACAGGCTGTCCCCACCAATGTCTGCCTTCCCTAGGGTGCCCCCTAGGGTGGGGGAGCTTCTCAGGCGATGTTTTAAGTCCCATTTTCCTCACCCTATTGTCTAACTGTGCCCTGTGATACTTGCAAGGATGAAAAAGGAAGATGCTTGTTGGTACTGTGTCACAGCCAAGCTCTCTCTGACATGCTGCATCAGCTGCCTGGCTGAGCCAGGCACAGCAATAAACTGCCAGAACCTTGGAAAGTCTAACTTTCCAAGTACATGTTGAATACACATTTACATATTTAACAAGGGAGCAGCTGTAAATCCTGGCATCCCTGCAGCTCTGGTTCTAGCTCACATTCCTGTTACCCTACCCTGCACCAATCTCTACAAGTGTTTGCAGCATAATGATCCATTCTGCAAGGAGCTCCTGCTCTTCCTATGATGTTAACTCTACCATGGAGGAGGAAAGGATGTGGCCTAAAGCATGCTTGTTAGCTCTCAAGGGTTATCATGTGGAGAAGAAGCAGCATGGACAATAGGCACGTATGAAATAACATCCCCAACAGGGTTGCCAGGTAGGCATTGCCTGGTTTGTTCTGCATCTTTTGGTGTATCTGTACCTTGGTTACATACCTGAAAAATGAATACAGTGGCATTTACCAGCTTCTCAGGGTCACGGTAACAGCTTCCAGTGTACTACACACTAGATCAAATGATTGGTTTTACCAGTTACTACCATTTACAATGCAATTCTGTTTCACTTCCACAGCTGTAATGAAAGCTGTCTGCAATCATGGATCCTTACAGGTCACTAAATTATACAGTGCCCCCATTCAGCTCTTGCTGACATTTTGTTGACATCAATGAACCATACCCATTTATTAGCAGAATGTTTTATGCCTCCTGCATCTGATTTTTCTGCCCCAAAGCCCTATGTGAGCGAGAAACAAGCCAGCTGGCCTTTTTCACTGGAAGAACCCCTTAGATTTGTACACAGAACAGAGGAGTCCACAATGCCACAAAAGACCCTTCACAGTTAATTTTCATATTTTTACAATATTTTATGATTGCTATTACTCTGCTTCTGGGCAGGCCTCTCTCCAAATCCTTTTGCCAGTGTCTTTGATAAAACGAGAACTTAGACCACTGGCACTGAAAAACAGCAGTACTGCTAAATCACAGCACAAGCCTGACTCACCTCCCCAGACTGAGCTCCCAATTAAAGCTGCAGTCTAATTGTTCTGCTTTTCGTAATGTAAAACAGAAGCCAAATGCAAAATTCTCCAACATGTTCCCTGCTGAGATACAGATTTCACATGAGACAGAAATATGCAAGGCAGCCAGCTACAGAACTTTTGCCAGGGCTATGCTATGCTGCACAGATCTACAATTGCTTCTGAAACCTCTGCAGTGTCTTTCCACTTGCAGTGCACCATAAGAAGGGATAATGCTTCCCACTAAGAATGCTAGTACGAGGGAGATGCGGCCTCTACATCTACACACGAAAGGTGAGCCACCCCGAGGTGTGGCAGCTAAACTGAAGAGACGGAGAAAGTAGCAGGCTTTGCTGCAACTTTTGGAAAGGTCTCATGCACTGCACTTCCTAACATGGGACAAGATGGGCTAGGATAGAACAGGGACGTGCCCATAGCTACCTATTTTCACCTATTTATCTGTGGCTGGGGCTACCATCATTTGCCACTGGAGGTGCAAAGGGGTTGACCTGCTGTGACCCGCTTCTCCTTTATCTAGCTGCACAACAGCTGCCTACAGTTCAGTCCTCAGTGTTGTTATGAATCCACCAGAATGGTCCTCTGCTTCCCTTCTGCTGTCCCTCTGCTCTCCAATAACTTCTACAGTACTATCAGCTGCCCTCTCAACACTCAACATTGAGTTCATTGAGCGATTCACCTGCTCATTCAGCCACCCATGCACCCATACATATAAATCCATGGCTGTCAGCAGCCTCAGGCATTTTTCTCTTACACACACAGCATTATGGAATCCACGGTCCTCGTAATATCCCTGGCACACAATCCTTCTGAGCTGCAGCGACACCACAGGGATGTGCCCCAGCAGATAAGCAAAAAAAATAGGAGCCATGGGAACGGGGAAAGTTCAAGTGAAGGGATGGACACACCCGACTCCATACAGAACAAGGACTCTGCTACAGTGATGGAAAGACAGCCAGAAAAGTTAATCTTCCCTAAATCTCAAGCCACATAATGCTTCTGAAGATGGAAGGACTGGTAGCATCTGATAAAGAACAGGAGAAAGCTGCCACATGCTTCAACTGACACTTTCCCCTGAATTCAGAGGATGAGATCTTCTTTGATGTCATGGTTTGGGACAAGTCTCTGCTATTTCTCTGTAGCATCTGGAGATTTGAGAGAAGACGGACACCTCACACAAGACATAGCTTCATGCCATCTGGACTGTGGGCAGATGTTAGGTGAGACCAGGTCAAAGCACCCATGGGTTACTCTAAACTACTTGCAGTCTTTCACAAGCCAGCCTGAGGGAAGGATGTTTCTGGATTGCTGAGCAGGTCTTTGGTGACTCTGGCATACAACAGGTCAAGCGCAGGTCTGCAGACCGGATATTCTTACCCCATCCAGCCTGGCTGAATCATGTCATCTCCTACTACTAATGCATACATTATACATACACAACACATGTAAGAGCATACACCACTCTAAACAGACGAAGAGTAAGGAGTTTTGCTATTAATAGAGAAAGCCCTGTAAGTCTTGACTTTTTTTTCTGAGCAACAAAAGCTCAGGAAGAAAAGCAGGTCAGACCAGCCAGTACCTACTGGTACCTCCAAGGAAGTGCTAAGTGCCAATGGGAGCAGAATTAAAGGCCAAAGAACAATGCTGAACTGTCCTAGTGATAAAACAAGGCACTTGGAGATCTGCCCAGAGAAGACTTCACATTATTGTATGCCCAGGGAGTTTTTGCCCTATCTATGCCAGTTCTCTCCAGACAAAGTGTGATAGCTAGTTGTTGTGCAAGCACACCACTCCTAGGCTGCAGCATCCTCAGGCATGACCGCCATTTGCAGAACAGGGCAGACCTATTGGAAGCTGAGGCTGTAAAACTTTAGCTGGGGTTCCTCTCACCTCCTGCCTTTGGAGTAATTCTTGACTCCTACCTACAGGCTGAACCTTCCCACAGCGTTGCCTCTGGTCACTCAACAAGCAAGGTTTCCTCCTCAAGGGAGGCCGTCAGCCCACGGCTACATTTTTCCGCTGCCAAGGAGAGAACAGGAAGGTTAAGAAAGCAGCTTTCAGCTGTTGCTGTGGTTTGTTGCTTGGGTTTGTTTGCTTGTTTGTTTTCCCAAATGTAATTCAACACAGCTAAATGGCTCTCCTGGCAAGGAGAGGGTCCTCCCCTGCCTCAGAACTTGCCACATTACAACACCTGCACATGGCAGGCAGCCTTGAGGTTCGTTGCTCTAAGGGGAGCAATCTTCAAGAGGAATTAAGCTCTCAACAAGGCAACTGCTGCTGTACCATCAGCCTGCCACTCTGTCCCTCCACCTGCCCTTTAAAACCACAGGGCTGCTGCAGGAGCTGGGCTCATGCCTTGACTTGTCTTCGCCCTTTGCATGCTAAAACTGGGAAAAGCTCCTGGGTCTTTTCCCTGCCACTACACACAAACTTTAACATTCTGCAAGTTGCAAACAGGACGCAATTAAAAATATGGGACCGAACATGTACAAGAAGGAACAGAATTAGAAGAGCAAAACCAAGAAGAGTGGTTAAAATTCTCACTCAGTTTCTGTAACACCCAGTCTACAATGTAGGGCCAGCAGAAGCTCTCCATGTGTGAGCAACACTCTTGCAGTGAGACAACAGTTGTGCCCTTGGATCTCTAAGTTCTTTTCTGTGTCTTTACTAATTCCTGTGGAGAACAGATGCTACTTTTTTTGCACTATATACACAGTGTGAAATATGGCCCACTCTTTCATAGAAGATCAATATGATGCACGATAAATACTGTTATTGATCTTCTAGTGTTGTAGATGACTCTCCAGCTCTATGGCATATTAATAGTAGTTAACCAGTAATTCATTTCAGGATGGCTGGGATTTTCTTCTAAGGAAGGTGAGTTCTCGGGGTCAGTTACACACATGGGTCTTACACATTCAGTAACCTGAGGGGCTCCTGCCTTCACTTAGCAGAGTATGGTGAAAAACAGTGGTCCAGTCCTCACTTAATGTAAACCAGTCTCAGACCATTTACTTCAATAAAGCCATGGTGATTTACA